GCGGCCTCTCCCCTCCTTGGGGCAGGGGAACGGAAGGCGGCCTCTGGGGTCACCACTCTGGCTCAAGGCTCGGGGGTGTGTGTCAGGGTGTCCCCAGGCCATGGCGCTCCCATCTCTCTGGCGGGTCCCGCTTCCGGACGCTGGTACCGCAGAGAGCCTTGAGTCCCTGTGGCCCGGGGGGGGGGGAGTCAGGCTCACCCCAATGCTGAGACCGCCCTGCCTCTTTTCTCTTCCGCAGGAGGAAGGACCAAAGGCCGCGCCCAGCGCTGCAGCCCCTCCCGGCGGGCCTGGCGGGGGAGGGCTCATGGAAGAAATGAGTGCCATGTTGGCCCGGCGGTGAGTGTGGGGCGTGCGGGAAACGGTGCTGCTGTTGGGGTTCTACCCCATCCTCCTTGAGAGGGGGGTCTGGTGAAGGGTGGACAGCAGCACATGCGAAAGGGATCTGGGTGTTCTGGTGGATCACAAGCTAAACATGAGCCTGCAGTGCGATGTGGCTGCGAAGACAGCGAATGCAATCTTAGGATGCATTCACAGAAGCCTTGTGTCCAGATCACGGGAGGTGGTCGTTCCTCTCTATTCTGCCATGGTCAGGCCTCACCTGGAGTCCTGTGTCCAGTTTGGGGCACCACATTTGAGGAAGGATGCTGACAAGCTCGAGCGTGTCCAGAAGAGGGCAACCAGCATGGTGAGAAGGTTGGAATCCAAGTCTTACGAGGAAAGGCTGAAAGAGTTGGGTCTGTTTAGCCTGGGAAAGAGAAGGCTTAGAGGGGACACGATCGCAGTCTTCCAAGTATTTGAAGGGCTGTCAGGTAGAAGATGGAGCGGATCTATCCTCTCTTGCTCCAGATTGCAAGACTATAGCTAATGGGTGGAAGTTACAAGGGAGTTGTTACCAGCTAAATATCAGGAGAAACCTCCTGAGTGTAAGAGTGATTGAGCAGTGGAACAACTGCCTCGGGAGGTGGTGGAGGCTGGACAACCCTCTTTTGGGCATGTTGTAGGGCTGTCTTTCGGCTGTGCTCCTGCAGAGTGCAGGGGGTTGGACTAGATGACCTGCAAGATCCCTTCCAACGCTAACATGAAGGGGACTATGGCCCTCAGAATTCCGCAAAACCGTGTTGGTCTCTCAAGGACTCCTGGACTTGAGTCTGGCTGGCGTGTGGCGCAGGGTTGCCGCCGGCTTGGGGATTTCCTGGAGATCTGAGGGCATCTCGAAAGGGGGCCTGTTTGGCTGCTTCTGCCGCTTTCCCTCAAAATGTACTTGGGAACAAATTCCGGGCAATCTTTCAGCATGTCCAAAAAAATTCAGAAGAGGCCTGCTTGGTCAGACCAGGGAGGGTCGCTCCAGTCCAGCCTCCCGTCTCACACAGGGGCCAGCCAGTTCCTCTGGAGGGCCAACAACAGGGCAGGGAGGCCGAGGCCTTCCCCTGAGAAGGACACCAGAAGAGCCCTGCTGGGTCAGACCAGGGAGGGTCCCTCTAGCCCAGCCTCCCGTCTCACACAGGGGCCAGCCAGTTCCTCTGGAGGGCCAGCAACAGGGCAGGGAGGCCGAGGCCTTCCCCTGAGAAGGACACCAGAAGAGCCCTGCTTGGTCAGACCAGGGAGGGTCCCTCTAGCCCAGCCTCCCGTCTCACACAGGGGCCAGCCAGTTCCTCTGGAGGGCCAGCAACAGGGCAGGGAGGCCGAGGCCTTCCCCTGAGAAGGACACCAGAAGAGCCCTGCTGGGTCAGACCAGGGAGGGTCCATCCAGTCCAGCCTCCCGTTTCACACAGGGGCCAGGCAGTTCCTCTGGAGGGCCAACCACAGGGCAGAGAGGCCGAGGCCTTCCCCTGATAAGAACATCAGGAGAGCCCTGCTGGATCAGACCAGGGAGGGTCCCTCTAGTCCAGCCTCCCGTCTCACACAGGGGCCAGCCAGTTCCTCTGGAGGGCCAACAACAGGGCACAGAGGGGCCAAGGCCTTCCCCTACTGTTGCCTCCCGGCTCTGGGATTCAGAGGCTTTGTGCCTGTGAAGGTGGAGGTGTCCCTCAGTCACCAGGCCTAGTAGCCACTGCTAGACCTCTCCTCCGTGAATCTTATCTAATCCCCTTTGGAAGCTCTGGTATGGAAGTGTGTAAATCAATTCTCCGTTTCCTCCTCCTCCGCGTTTTTCTGTTTTAAGACTGGCTCAGAAAGACCCCCGTAAATGAGGGGAGAGGCGCAAGTCCATATCCCATGCTGGATTTTGTTATTCTGCCTCCTGGAATGTGCCTAGTTAGCCAGCCCTCCCTTCCGGGAGCGCAGGGACCAAAAGCGTGGAGCATCGGGGGTCAGATCTTCAGATCCATTGTGCTCGGAGTCATACCTTTCTGGGCCTCACGGCCGGGGTGGAGGACGGGTTCCTTCCCCCAGAAGAGAGTGCCTCTGCTAGTGGGATGGGTGCATAGGAGGCCATGTCTCCAGGTCCGCCCCCCCCCCCCGTTGCCTGGGGTGCTGGGGGCATGACCGCTGCACGCCCTCCTCTAAACCGCTTCTTCCTTCCGTAGGAGGAAAGTTACAGAGCAGGGTGAGAAATCCATTCCAAAGAAAGAGGAAGGCCCTGCGCAGGTGAGAACGGATGTGAGCCTCCCCCTCCTCGCCCCCACCTCTGCCTCCACCCCTTGGCAGCAGAAGACCGGCTTTTCCGCAGGATATGGAGGGGGGGGGGGCTTGGTCGCTTGCCACAGCAGGAAGACGTGTGTATCTGTTCAGCCCCTGCAGTTTCCCCGAGGCAGCCACCGTCGCTCTTTGCTTGTAGGTTCGTTCTGACGCTCCCCTTGCGCACCTCTTGCCCGTTTCGGCCAGGCTTTGCACAGGAGGTCTTCTCGGGTGGGGGGGAGGATCGGGTTCCTCAATGAGTCCAACCTGTGTCTTTAACTAAGGCGGATGACCCCCCCCCAAAAAAAACCCTCTTCAACCCAGGCCCCCCACTGCCAGTTTGGTGTAATGGCTAGGAGCGCGGACTCTAATCTGGGAGAACCGGGTTTGATTTCCCCACTCCTCCATATGCAGCTGCTGGGGTGACCTTGGGTCAGTCACAAGTTCTCTCAGAGCTGTTCTCTCAGGAGCGGTCCTCGAAAGAGCTCTCCCAGCCCCCACCCACCTCACTGGGTGTCTGTTGTGGGGAGGGGAAGGGAAAGGAGTTTGTAAGCAACTCTGAGACTCCCTTGGGTAGTGAAGGGCGGGGTATAACT